TGGATTGCTTCATAGTACAGTGCTTAACCCCTTGCGCCATCAGGGAGGCCCTGATTTTCTTTTGTAATAAGAGCTAACTTATTTACTATGAGTTGGAATCTCTTTTTTATGATTATCCTCATTATACACAGGAGGAAACTGAGGACACAAAGAGATTATGTAACTACCCTCAAGGTCACATAGCTTGTGGAGGGGATCCTGGGTTTGCACATGATCAGACAATTCCAGAGTCTGAATTCTTCAACATTGCACCATTCAGGTTGGCTGGAGGAGGGAAAATGCATCTTTCTCTGATTTCTCCTTGTGTTAAGGCCATTGCTACACCTGGCGAACATGTACAAAGAGAATATACTTGAATGTGCAGGTGGAAGTAGGAGGCTATTAGCATGTATTTAGGAAGTACATATTTAGGCTAGTTTCAGAAAATATATTTTTCAAAGATTTATTTTATTTATTTTTGCATACAAGAGCTGGGGTATAGGCCAGAGGTGTGGGAGGGTAAGATGATTCACCAGAGACAGTGGGGAGACAGGAGAGGTCTGCTGTGTCATGTGGGTTAGCTCCCTGGCCGGGGATCCAAATCATGCTGCAGTGGCTGGCGACATGCTGAGACTTAACCCCTTGTGCCACTAGGGAGGCCCCTCAGAAAATATTTTTTTGAAAAAGCAAGATAGCATTTAGGATGCTGGAGGCACCGAATGATTCCTTGTTCCCACAGAGAGTTCTCCAGAGTATTTCCATGATATTAATGGGGTGGGGGGGGGGAGCAGGGAGAGACCTGAAGGTGTTAGAAGAAGGAAAAAGATGTATATCACATGTGTTTCTGACTTGAATTAGAAAATGCTGTAAAAATATACACTGCTATAGAAAAGAATAGTAACTTCTTTATCCCCTTTTACTGTCACTCACAGAAAGATAAGAAATCCTGTTCAGGAAGTCATGAGTTAGCCTGAGATTACAAAACCTTTGGGAAGAAAGGGGTTGTGGGGATAAAAGTGAAAGTTTGAGATTTCAGAGGAACTAAGAAACTCTGATAGATGAGAAATAGGTTAAATGAAAGAATATCACCACTGGAATCTGAGACAGAAAAGGAGATTAAGTAAACAGAGGATTGTAACCAACCTCATACCAAGGAATCACAAGTGAAAAGCAAAATTCTTTAAGCAACTGTGCTGTGATTACTTTCTAAAACATTGTGAGTGCCACAGATGTGCCTGGGATAATATTTACAAATGTAAGGGCTGATCTTAGCAAGGTCTGGTGCTCAGGAGGCATGTCTTCAGAGGGGAGATAGAAGAGGTATTTAAATTATCCATAAGGTGTGTTCAGCTATTAAAAAAAGATAAAATCATGCCATTTGCAGCAATGTGGGTGAAGCTAGAACAAATTATGCTCAGTGAAACAAGCCAGAAGGAAAAAGAAAAGTATCAGATGGTTTCACTTATAGCAAGAATATAGGGGAGCCAAATAAGACATCAGTGTAAAAAAATAATAACAGTACAAAACACAACAAAGCAAAAATGGACAATTATAAATCAGAGACATGCTGCAGGGGAGGAGGAGGGAGAGGGATCAGAGGGAGGGAGGGAGGAGCACAGGGGACTGAGGTGATGGTGCACGGGTGCCTTGGTGAAGGAAACTCTATGGGGACTGCACCTGAGGAGGTGGGGGGAAGCAAATATTGTTTAAAAATGAATAATGATGTAAAAAAATAAAAATGAGAGATAAAAAAATAAAATAATTGACAATCAAAAAGAAAAAAAGAAAAAGCCAGGTTGTTGACACTGCACCCTCTAGTGTCTTGGAGAGTCACTGCAGCTTTGCCTGTGTGATAAAGCCAAAGGCTGTTAATTCAGTAAGTACTTATAATAGTCATCTCTAGTGACCCAGACCTACTTAGTGTGCCCAGCTGTTTGTGCTTGAATCTCACCACCCCTCCACCCACTAATGGGGTATTGAGGCCTGGTGTGCTTGGAGGCAAGAAAATGAAAACTATGCTGTGGAAAATTGTGCCTTTTCTCAGTGCCTGGGAAGTTAGTGCCTTGTCGGGGAGGATGAGATGTTCCATGTTTGAAATAAAGACATTAGTCTTTTTTTTTTTTTTAAAGATTTATTTATGCATACAAGAGCTGGAGTACAGGCCAGAGGTGCGGGGGTGGGGGGACTGAGAGGATTCACCAGAGACAGAGTGGGAAACGAACAGGCAGATTGACTGAAGTACACTGCTGAGGGGAGCAGCGGGCGAGTCAGGAGGGAGGTCTGCTTTGCCATGTGGGTCGCTCCCTGGCCGGCAATCGAACTCATGCTGCAGAGGCTGAGGATTGCTTCACAGTGCTGTGCTTAACCCCTCGCGCCACCAGGGAGGCCCAAGACCTTAGTCTTTAGTTTCAACTTAACCTGCATTTTAAAATTTCACAGTGTAACAGAAACATAAATGAACACAGATATTCTTTTTTTTTAAGATTTATTTTTATTTATACAATAGCTGGGGTACAGGCCAGAGGTGTGGGGGGGTGAGCGGATCCACCAGAGACAGAGCGGGGAGCAGAACAGGCAGACAGACCAAAAGCACCGCTGAGGGGAGCAGCGGGAGAGACAGGAGAGTATCTCCCTGGCCAGCCAGGAATCAAACCCGCGCTGCAGAGGCTAGGGTTAAGATGCAACCTATGAAACTATCCACAGCCACTGCAGCATGAGTTCGATCCCCAGCGAGGGAGATACCCACATGGCGCATCAGACCTCTCCTGCTGCGCCCGCTGCTCCCCTCAGCAGTATATTTCAACAGATCTGCCTGTTTGTTCCCCACTCTGCCTCTGGTGGATCCTTTCACCCCCTACACCTCTGGCCTGTACCCCAGTACTTGTATGCATAAATACATCCTTTTTAAAAAAAGTAAGCCTTTTTAAAAAAAAAAGTCTGCCTTGAGCCTGTTTCACCATATTAGACTGCTTTTTTGTATAATTTTTTTTTTTGCAGGTTTTTTTTTTTTTTTTTTTTTTTAAGACTGCTTTTTTGGACGCAGCTCTGCCATTACTACCTCATTGTTACTGTTGGGGGTAAGGATGTCCTGAGCTAATTCCATGCAGGCTTTGTGGACTCCACCCCCACTCCAGGCCAAAGCCATCAGGATGTTGGGAAAGACAAATCCCCGTCACCACCAAAGGGAAGGTGGCTGGGACCAGAGGGTGGAGTTAAGCAGCCAGGTTGAGTATAAAAACCAAACACGTGGGCCTTGCGGGGCTCGCTATCGCTCGCCTCCTGGCTTCAGAGCTCCTGGCCATTTGGGATTCCAGATCGGTGGATCGGGTAGGACGCATTTAAAACTTTTCTCCCACTTTTCTACCTGAGCTGTACATTTCCTCATTTCCCCTTCCCTTGTAAATGAACCTTTTATTAACCTTTCTCGTGTGCCTGCAGTAGAGTATTGGTAAGTCCTTTTGAGTGCGCGGGTGAGGACCCACAGTCAGGCAACCCGTTTTGTATCAGGGCTGCCCTATAACAGTACCAACGACAGCTTGCTACATGTCCTCTTCCTCTGTCTCATCCTTTGGAAAAATGGGTTGATAATAATAGAAGGTTCTATATAGGGTTGTTGTGAGGATTAAAGGAGATGCATGTAGGGCAGTTAGCACAGGCCCTGACACGAAGAAGTTGGCCAGTGTTAGCTAATCAGCATTAGCATTGTCACTTCAGCTTTGTCTCACTGGAGACAGGAGTTCAAATTAGCATTGAGTGGCTTCACCTGAATGGACCAGTCATCTGAGAGGAACAAGTACCTCAGGCCTGTTGCAGAAGCAGTATATTGGAGAGTGGTTAGTTAATAAACCTCCCTCCTCCCCCTGGTTTGGAACAGAGCTCTGTACCTGGTGCTGAAGAGATTGAAGGAGTGGCCGTTGGTATCCAGGTATTTATTGTCTTGTTAGCAAAATAGACCTTGTGTTACCTATACAAAAATTTGGGGGAGTCTTTCAAGTGCAAGTTTTAAGCCTGATTGACAGCTCCTAAATCACCTGTGAAGGACAAAAGGCTTATTCCAACCACCTTGGGGGTACAGTGGGATACAGTGAAGCAGGCTTGGGAATCTCAGAGTAGGACACACCTGAGTTCAACCCTGGTTTAGCTACTCTGGTGGTAATGATCTTGAGTAAGTCATTTAACTTCTCAGCCTCAGGTTTCTTGTCTGCAAACTGTAGACTGTGATGAGGAGCATGTGCCATGATGTGCACAAAGCCCAGCACACCATCTGGCACATAATAGGTGCTATAACATTTTATAGCCCTTCTCCCTCTTTTTGGCTGCCTTCAAAGTTAAAATCAAAACTTGAATTTGGCACACAGTAACCTTCCTCCTTATCACCAGGAATGTCCTAACCAGTTGGGAAAAAAAATGTGTTGTAAACTGACATATATTATCAATCATGAATACCAGAATAGCTAAGGTTGCTTTTGGAACTCTGGGAGTGGCCAAGATGCAGGGCCCATGTGTTCCCAACCGCCCTCTAAAAAACTCCACATGGGGGCGTTTGGGAAGAGAGGGCCAGGCGCTGGTCTGTGTCCTGCAGCACGCACGCTTTCTCCAGTCTGTCTACAGAGAAAAAACCCTCAGATACAACTGCAAGAAACACCCTCATCTTCTCTCTGTGTAAGTTTGTCAGACCAAGCAAATCTGTGTCTAAGAATGTTTTTCCTGGAGAGGGGGATCTGATATGGAAGACAGATCTAGAGATCCAGGAGCAGCATGTTCTTTCTGCTTATGGGGTGCATGTAAATACTTCTTTCTTGCTCCTGGGGGAATTGCACTGGAGGCGTGGGTGAAGTCAGCAATTAGAGTGTACTCCCTAAGGCTTCCAACAGCAGCAGTATGGTCTGTTCCTGTGTTAAGAAATATTTGAGTGAAATTCCACTTTAACAAACAAAAAAAAAAAGGGGGGAAATGTTCATAAGATAAAGTTATCAAGTATGCTAACTAATTTTTTTTTTTTTCTGTTTTGTTTCCTTTAGGAGAACTATCCAATCCCTGAGCCAGGCCCAAATGGTAGGTTTTCTGTTTCTTATTCTGGAAATACATTTGTATTACTCCCTTACCTCCTCTTTCCCTACCATTCATTACTTTTAGCTTCATTAAATATCGGATGGTCTCACTCATAGCAGGAATCTAGAAAACCTAAATAAGGGACCAGGAAAAAGAATAACTCTAAGAAAGAATATATCAAAATCAACAAACAACTATGAACCAGAGACACTCTATGGGGGATGGGGGGACGGGGAAAGGAGGGATTGGGGTCAAAATAAGGGGGTTGTAATAAAATTTAAATTAAAAAAATTTAAAAAAAGATGGAGAAATAAATGTTTCAGAGCGTGCAAAAAAAAAAAAAAAAAAAAAGACCTATGCTTTTGTTAGGCTGAGGGCCTAGGGTGTTATCCACAGTAGGAAGGGGTAAATTTAATTTGGCTACTACATGAGATAAAAGAAATAACAACTGGGTTGTGAAGCTGCCCGCGGACTCTGTGGCGCCGGTTGGATCCCCGGCTGCTCCCCGGCCACAGGGTGAGGGTCCCACATGGCGCGCAGACCTCTCCTGCCGTCCGCTGCTCCCCTCAGCAGTGTACTTTGGTCCTTCTGCCTGCTCTGCTCCCCGCTCTGGCTCTGGTGAATTCTCTCACCCTCCTGCACTTCTGACTGTACCCAGTGCTTGTATAAATAAAAAATAAATAAATACATACATACATACATAAATCTTTAAAAAAAAAAAAAGAAATAACAATAGACCCAGAATAGTTAACACCTCAGATTGCTGGCTTGTCACAGAGTTTTTTGACATAAAATGTCTTTATAGACCAAAGTCAGAGTTGTCCCTCCCTTCCCCTAATAACAGAGTAGGTCATTCTGTCCGCCATAAGCTGTTACTTGGCTTGCCAATCATGTCCTAACCCTACCCTGAAATTTGTTAAGGAAAACATCTGCAGAACTTTATTAATTAGGAGAGGGAGTGGCTCAGGACCTTCTGCTTGGTAGGGACAAGAAAAGCCGCATGCAGCCCTGCGCCACTGCAGAAAGTAGGTGAGTGCACTGGGGCAAGGCTCCCATCACCTTTGCTCTGCTCCTTCTGGCCTCTCACTGTACACACAAGCCTACTGGGCCAAGCTGACATGCACGTTTCCTGGGGTGGTGTCTGTGCCTGGTTGGCTAGGATAGATTGGGTGGGACAGAGCCTTGCTGATGGTTTTCCAGTCCCTCCCATCCCTGGGGTCCCACTTCGTAATCTGCATAACTCTGAAGTGAGACTGGGAGCCAGGGCCAGCGATATAGACAACTCATCCCACATCTAGATACTCAAGTCCTTTCTGTCTTGTGGATTTGGGGATGTAGTTCCCCAACCCAGCCCACCTCACCCCAGAATTGTAGCTTCTGTGTGAGCATAAGATTGGAGGCAGCTTTCCTGGCAGCTTCCAGAGCTTTGCTACTCAAAGGTCAGTTGGGTTATTCATGTAGAGTGATAAAAATGCAGACAATAGATATTTCTATCAGTGTTTAGCAAATGATGTATATTTAGGGCTTAAGCTTTTTCACCAAGATATCATATTCAGAGACATGAAGGCGGTACCTCATGATTTCCTGAAAAGTTGTCGTTGATTGCAGAGGTGCCCAAACAAGGACTAGAACTCGAGGGGTCCGGGTTCTGCTTCTCTCTCTGAGGCAGCTTCTTTTTTTTTTTTTTTTAAAGATTTATTTATTTATGCATACAAGAGCTGGGGTACAGGCCAGAGGTGTGGGGGATGAGAGGATTCACCAGAGACAGAGTGGGGAGCAGAACAGGCGGATTGACTGAAATACACTGCTGAGGGGAGCAGTGGGCAAGACAGGAGAGGTCTGCTGCACCATGTTGGTTGCTCCCTGGCTGGGGATCGAACTCGTGCTGCAGAGGCTGCAGATTGATGAGGCAGCTTCTGTCTTCACTTTCATGTCTGTTGCTACATTTGAATTGGAGGGGGAAATGATGATAACTTCAGCTAGAGTTCTTGAAATCAGATTTCATCGCTTATTACAAATTGGCAGCGGTGGAAACTCTGGGATAATTTTCTTTAGACAAATGACTATCCCCCACCATTGATCTCAGAATTCACCCTGCCATTTCTGACTCTGTTCCCAAAACCAAAGATGAAGAAAGTTAGGGCCACGCCTGGTGGATCACCCACGGTTTGTGGCAAGGACAGTGTGTGAGACATCTGAATGCATAGCACAGCTTTGGGTCTCTTTGTCTGTCTGAGACAGAGTTTTTTCTCAGGGGGATACTCTTAACGTGGTCATCTCAGTTAGATGAGGCAGTAATCTTCTAGTACTTATTTTAGCAAAGAGGCTCAGTAGCTTCATTATTCTCAACTTGGAAAACTGACAACAACAATACCACCAAATCTCACTTTATTCAAACTTGTAAAGGGGAGATGCCAGTTGAAATCTTTGGGTGGTTTAAATTAAAGCTGCACTTTTAAAGAAAACAACAGACATGAAGAATGCAGCCTGGTAGCTCATGTTGCCAAGCCTAGATTCTGCCAGCCTCCCTCACATGAATAGGTAGGAATCAAGCATAGCATATTCATTGTCTGGAAGCTGTTAGATGCTAAAAAATTTAACAGTTTGTTCTCTTAGGTGGTTGGTACATTTCTCCTTACTAATAATATCTTACTGATGCAGTGTATTAGAGTTCTCTAGAGACATAGGAGAGATAGATTTATTGTATAGGTTTGTTCTTACAGTTTGTGTGTGTTTGTGTGTGTGTGTATGGAGTGAGGGGGGAGATTTATTTTGGGGCTTAACATGATTGTGGGAACTGAAGTTTTTAGGGCTGACCACAAGACTGGAAATTGAGGTGATATTGCCATATTGGAGAATTGCTTCTTCAGGAAAACTGTCTTCACTGATTGGATGAGATTTGTCTACATTGTAGAGGGAAATCCGCTTTAAGTTTACTGATTTAAATGCTCGTTTGTTTTTATTGAGGTTATAATTGACATATAACATTATGTCAGTGTCAAATGTACAGGATATAGTGTCTTGCTATTTGTATACACTGTGAATGATCACAATAAGTAGGCACCATCACTGTATAGTTGCATCTGCCACCATATAGAGTTACAAATGTTTTTTTCTTGTGATGAGAACTTAGAAACTTTCAAATATGTAATATAGTATAATTGACTAATATTCCCATACTGTATATTATAGTCTCATCATTTATTTCATAACCGAAATAAATGATTTCAGTTGACTCCTTTACCCATTTCGCTTTTTCCCTGCCACTGGCCAAAACCAATCTGTTTTCAGTATATGTGAGCTCAATTTTTTTTTTTTTTGGTTGGTTGTTTTTTGGTTTTGATTCCACATACAAATCAAATCATATTTTTGTATATTTTTTTGGTTGGTTGCTGTTTTTTGATTCTACACATAAAATGAAATCATATTTGTATATTATTTGTCTTTCTCTGTCTAGTTATTTCACTTAGCCTCATGCCCTCCCTCAAGGCTCATTCAGGTTGTCATAAATGGCAAGGTTTTGTTCTTTTTGTGATGGAATATATATAAACTACAATCTTTTTTTCCAACCTTTTTCATTTTTAAGTAAAAAATTTTGAGGTAATGTTGGTTTACAACATTGTTTTAGGAGAATAGGTTTACGTCTCTGCAAATGCTTGTTACATGCCTACTACTAAAGCACCAATAATCCTCCACCATGTCCATTGAACCCCCCTCCCTTTGCTCCCCAGTCCCCATCCTACCCTCCTGTTAGCCTCAGATCTGTAATCAGATTTCAAAGGTTTGTTTTGATTTGTTTCACAGGTTGCTTGCTTTTTTTTTTTTCCACATAAGTGAAATGATCCTAAACCATATATTCTTTATCCATTCAACCATGATGGACACTTAGTTCCTATCATGACTATTATGAATATTGCTGCACTGAACATGGAATGCTTAAATGTTAATCACATCTAAAAAGCATCTTCACAGCAGCATCTAGTATTTTCCAAATAACTGGTTATTGCAGCCTAGCAAAGCTGACAGATAGAATTAACCATCACATGCAGTTATTTTGCTCTGTGGAAGCTTTTTTGCATTGCAAGACTTAATTGGTGGTAACTGTTTAACTAATTTTCCTCTATAGTTTAAATTGTATACCTGACTGTCAAAACCAAGCCCTTTCCTTGTCCAGAGGAAAAGTGCTAGGATGCTGCAGAATGATAGAGGAGTTGTCCTCTCCCTCACTTGCTTTCTCTCCTTTCTCTTATCAGAGGTGCTACTGAAGATGCATTCTGTTGGAATCTGCGGCTCAGATGTCCACTACTGGCAGAATGGTCGAATTGGGGATTTTATTGTGAAAAAGCCAATGGTGCTGGGACATGAAGCTTCTGGAACAGTTGTAAAAGTGGGATCATTGGTCAAACACTTAAAACCAGGTCAACAAAGCCTTTCTTCAATAATGAATTTCATTCCACATAAATTTGGGTGCTTTCTGTGAGCCAGGACCTGTATTAAACACAAAAGATACAGCAATGAACGAGACTATCTCAGTCTGAACAGACCTGAGACAGACAGATAGGTCTTAATTACAGTTATGTTAAGGGCAGTGGAGCAGGATATAGGGTACTCTCTGGGAATTTGCCCATATCCCTACAGAAGGGACAATTAATCCACCCCCTGAAGTCAGGTAAAGGGCTAGGGAAAACCTTCCAGTCACAGGAACTGCAAACTTCCTCTTCCTGCCAAAAACCAGGACCTTGAATGCAGTTTTTCATTTTAATGAATGTTGGAAACCATCAATATTTGCTTACTTATTCTTCCAAAGGGAGGAATTCTCAGCTGTGGCAGATTGTGGATTTCCCCAATATGGCGAATTAAATCCTAACTATATTGGCATAGCTAACTATTGGCTTTGACCTTCCTTTGCTGGTGAGACCAATGTACAGCCTAGAGATGTCAGATTATCCAGGGAAGGGTGGGTTGGCAGAAGGTGCCATTCTGTGTTAGCTCTGAAAGAATCAATAAATCTAAGGCATGATTGAATTCTAATTTACTTACGCTCTGCCTATTTCATAGCTTGAATTTCCTCTGTAGCACCTGCTCAGATAATTACGACAAATGCAATACTGCTAGATTTTGCTACTGCTACTATTATCACCATGCCTACCTTTAGTAAATACTATGTACAAGGACTTTACATGTTTCTCTGGGTACTTTAACACAAAAAAATGTATAAAAATAGCTTCACATGTCTCTGCTTAGTAAAGGGCAGACCTCTACCAGTTCTTCTCAGACTTCTATCTAGTAGTACATCCCTCTGGGGGTAGGGAGAGGAGTCAGAATTGACTGGGAAGGTATAGAAAGAAATTAAATTTCTGAGGTACTGTCAAAGGTCTATATTTTGATAGGAGTTTACACATTTATCAAAATTCACCTAATGATCTATCAGTGTCTTAATTTTCCCTTCAAAAAGAATCATAAACAGATGCTGAACTCTAGTTAATGTTATACAGGCTGAAGTATCTAAGGGTGAAGTGTGCTAATGTTTGCAACCTACTTTGAAATGTGTCAGCAAAGAAGATGGACTGGTTGATAGATAAAGGAGAGATGGGGAGGGATGGATGCATGTGATGAAAGTGAATAAAACTGAATGTTAATTGAAGAATCTAGATGCAGGATGTCTGGATGTTCCTTTTACAGTTCTTTCAACTATGCTGTATATTTGATAATCTCCATAATTATAGGATAGAAAGCAATTCTAAGGCTGTGTTTCTAAGCAGATATAGAGTAAAATTACAATAGAGCTTGCTGTTCTGCAACCTGAATGCTACTCTCTGCTGCACCAGTTGGAGTCCTCAATAGGTCATTTACCAGGAATTGGTTGACTTGTAGGTATTGTCTAAACACACCCAACTAAATAAGATACACCGTAATTATGGCTTTAGTGTTTGTCAAAGCCTTCTGTGTTTTCAAAACAGTTGAAGAAAAAATTGTCTGCAAATTCCACACATGAGCTACCTCTTTTGCAGAAGCAGGAGATGGAAGCTAGGCTTGGTTTGCCTTAGTGATGGAATCGGTCCTGTGCTTCCAAGTTGAGAGGTGTCTACGGAGCTAGAGGGGCAGATTGACTTGTTGCAGGAGTTAGTAAAAGGGCAATCAAACCAGTCTGTGGAGATGTGGGTAGTCATTTTCTCTGCATGAATCAGTGCCGTGTCTCGTGTGAAGCACTAGTGGACTGACCTTGCCTAGGGCACCCAGGGAGGAGAGCACCGATTGAGCCAGATTCCCCCATCCATCATCTGCCCTGAGCACAAGTCCCTTCACAGCATCTCTGCCCCTGCCCACGTTTTCCTCTCCAGGTGATCGTGTTGCCATCGAGCCTGGTGCTCCCCGAGTAACCGATGAATTCTGCAAGATGGGCCGATACAACTTGTCACCGACCATCTTCTTCTGTGCCACGCCCCCTGATGATGGAAACCTCTGCCGCTTCTACAAGCACAATGCTGACTTCTGTTACAAGTTAGTACCCACTGCCTGCTGTGCCGCCTGTGCAGCTCCCTCTCCATCCGTTTGGTGTTCTTTCTGCGAGTTTCCTGTGGTGATTTCTTTATTCAGTTCATGATTCCAGACAAGAGGCATCCCCCGCACAGGTCTGTGTTTCTTGGTGGATCGAGGGAGGATAGCTTGACTAGGGCTAAGACTGATTCACAGTGCTTGGTTTTGGACTTTCTCTCTCCGAGAGCAGCAGTAGAAAATTGTTACTGAAATCACTCAGTCCTCTCCAGCCGTCCTGGAGGCAGCTTGTGGTTTGTCCTCCTGGTTTCCACTGCAGCCGCAGAGAAGAGAACTGACAACAGCAGTGACTTTGATCATAATAGCAGCAAGTGAGGTTTACCAAGATGGCCTGGCATAGAGCCAGGTGTGAGTGTCAGGAAGGACCCTTGATCCACTCACTCCTAGCAAGTGATTTTGAGGAAATGACTTAGCCATCCTCTGCTTCAGTTTCACTTAATTACCTAAAGGTTAAATAAGGCAATGCATGTAAAGCCACATGCCTGGCCTTGTGCTAATAACAGGTGTCATGCATCCTTACCTTACTTAACCATCATTGGGATAATAATGAGGTGGGTACCACTACTGCAGTTTTATGCAGGGGTGAGCAGAGGCCGGAGGAGGCTAACTGACTGGGGCACAAAGCAGATAGAAGTCAAGGCAGAACGACTATGATTCTCAAGTTCCTGCCCTGTGCTCACTCCCAAGATGGTCTTGGCGTGAATGGTTCTGTCTGGCCAGCCCATGGGACTCTCAAGGCTGATGTGCTGCTTTTCTTCCATTTGACTGAGTTTTCCTGCCACCCTGTCTGGTCCCAGAGGTAGTTCTGTCAGCTGGGATGCGGCTTGTGCAATGGAGGCCAGGTGGCAGTCACAGACAGGTGGTCCCACAGATCTGAGTTTCCAGTGTCCACTGGAAGCCTGGAGAGGAGTCACAGCTCAGAGACTTCATGATGAGTTTAAGTCAATACCTAAACCTGCTCGGGAAGAAAACAGGTTACTTGGGCAAAGTGTTCCTTTTAGCAAGGGGTGCCTGAACCAGCCATGTTTTCTGGTCATCGGCATGACTCTTCCCGCAGATCTAATGGTAGAGCTCAAGCTAACCATTGTTCTCTGCCTTTTACCAACCATGTCACCTTGAACAAGTTACTTAAACTTTGTAACCTCAATATGCTTGCCTGTAAAATGGAGACAAGAATAGCACTAGTATGAAGAAATGCATAGGCTTATTGATAAGATTCAATAAGAAAGGCATATCAAGTATTCAGCACAAAGCCTGGTACATAGTAGGGACCACAATATGGCACAGCTGTGATCTTGTACTGTGGGGAATGGAGGGCCTTCCTGGCGGCTCAGGGATTAAAGACATAGCACTATCGAGCTATCACCAACCATGTAATATTGATCCCTGGTCAGGGAGCTGACCCACACACATGGCACAGCAGACCTCTCCTGTCTCACTCACTGCTCCCCTCAGCAGTGTATTTCAGTATAGCCTCGTGTTCTTTTTTTTTTTTTTTAAAGGTTTATTTATGCATATAAGAAGTGAGGTACCGGCCAGAGGTGTGGGAGGTGAGAGGATTCACCAAAGTCAGAGTGGGGAACAGAACAGGCAGATGGACTGAAATACACTGCTGAGGGGAGCAGCAGGCAAGACAGGAGATGTCTGCTGCGCCATGTGGGTTGCTCCCTGGCCGCGGATCAAACTCGTGCTTCAGTTGCTGCAGATAGCTTCATAGTTGTGTTTTGTGCCACCAGGGAGGTCCATATCCTCCTGTTCTGTTCCCCACATTGTCTCTGGTGAATCCTCTCACTCCCCCCACCTCTGGCCTACAACCCAGTTCCTCTATGCATATACAGATAAATCTTTAAAAAAAAAAAAACCTGAAAGGGAGCCTTGAACTAAAGGGTATTGAGTTGTAGGGAATGGTGGGGGAGTGGGTGTTCGGGTTGGCAATGTTAATGGGAAGGCTGAACTCCACCGTTCCTCTCCTCCCAGGTTACTTTCTGCCTATGTCCCCTGTCCAGCCCTGGACCCAAGCTTCCTCTCTGGTTTATCTTCGTAAAGATTCCAACACTACCACAGTCTCTTTATTTCTCTACCCACCTTATTTTCTTTCTATCTTCCTGCTTCCCTCTTGGCTTCTTGAATATCTCTTACCCCTTTGCCTGTTCCTGTAACCCTGTCATGAAAACCACCAAGTTGCATTGTCATTCTTGGTATTTATAAAGTCATGAAAGGTTAGGGCTGCAAAAAAACCTTAGAGATCCTCTCCTCCAAACCCTATACAGTGTTGTAAACCAATGTTACAATAAAAAATAACTCTTGAAAATAAAATAAAAAGCTAATAAAAAGATAAAAGAAACTTAGAGTCCTCTTGTAGTGGAAGGATGGTCACTGAGCAGGTTTCCTAGGATTCGGGCAAACTGGGTAAAAGGAGTCCTGGAGCCCTGGGTGGGTTTCTCAGGCTTTTATTGAGCTGTACATGTAGTATGGCAAACAGGTACAAGTCAGGCAAGGGGTGGGGGGGCGGCGGCCAGGAGGCCTGTAGGCCTCCAAGCCCCCAGCAAGTCTTCACTCTGGGCTTCTCTGGCCTCTTTCTCCCTCTTCTCTCTCCTGCCTCTTCTCTCAATACTCCTCCCATGGCCCACAGAAGTAAATAGATAGTTTGCAACAATGTAATAATAACTGCATGTGCCCCATCAGGCATGGCAAGCCTAATGGTGGGAGGGCAGAAAAGCCTGAAAAACCATTTACCCTACACTTCTTACCTCCCTTACTCCTCAATCCCCACTGGAGAAGATTGAGGAAGGAGGTAACCCTTTCCACTAACTCTGCCAAGGTCAGTGCAGAGGGAGTGAGCCCCAGGGCCCCTTGCCTGGGGGCTCTGCCCCTGCACCAGCCTGCCCTCAGTGGGGCTGGCCTTACCAGCATATGTGATAAGGCCTGATAAGGCCGAACTATCTCATCAGTAGAATAAATTCCCAGATAACAATTTTCTCTTTTTCTTTTCTTCCTTGGTCTTTTTATTCTTAGGCGAAGTCAGAGGGAAGGTGTTGGTTCCTCACCAAAGACCCCCTTCAGCTTATAGAGACAACACAGATTGGGGAGGGAGGGAGGCTTAGTGTATCTGAGATAGCATGGTTGGGAGGTCCTTAAGAGAGTCTTTGTTAATTCGTTTCATGCTTATTTCCCTTATCTATATAGAATTATGGAGTAGGGAATAGGGTAGAGGGTGATAACAGCAGTCAGAGGAAAGGCTAGTGGATTGTGAGGGGCAGGGGTGTCAAGAAAGAAGCAGAGGGGATGAGAAGAAAAGTGTGGTGGGCAGCAGTCAGGCTTCTTGTTAGTCATCCTGTAGAGGATCAATCACGAGCAATGAAAGAAAGAGCACGGGAATGAACACATGACTTGGCTACCTTTTTATTTTTGGAATTTGAGGGTGTTTGTGTTTCTGCATGTGGGAGGAACTAGCAGAAATTAGATACTAACTACAGCGCTGCTTATAAGAGGCAGCTGATATGCTACAGGCAGAGTATGTGGTAGCAGGAGACCTGAATTCAAGTCTTGCTTTTTTATCCACCAGCCTCATAACCTTGGGCACATCTCCTTTTTTTTTTTTAAGATTTATTTTTATTTTATTTATACAAGAACCGGGGTACAGGCCAGATGCGCAGGAGGGTGAGAGTATTCACCAGAGATAGAGCGGGAAACAGAACAGGCAGACTGACGAAATACACTGCTGAGGGAGCAGCGGGCAAGACAGGAGAGGTCAGCCGCGCTATGTGGGACCCTCGCTGGCCGGCAGGGATCAAACCGGCACTGCAGAGTCTGGATAGCTTTATAGCGCTGCGCTCAACCACCTGCACTACCAGGGGAGGCCTGACACATCTCTTTTTTTTTTTTTTTTTAAGATTTATTTATGTATGCATCCAAGAATTGGGGTGTAGGCCAGAGGTGTGGGGGGTGAGAGGATTCACCAGAGACAGTGGGGAACAGAACAAGCAGATCGACCGAAATACACTGCTGAGGGGAACAGTGGGCGAGTCAGGAGCGGTCTGCTGTGCCATGTGGGTAGCTCCCTAGCCTGCCGGGGATTGAACTTGTGCTACAGAGGCTATGGGTAGCTTCACAGTGCTGTGCTTAACCCCTTGTGCCACCCGAGAGGCCCACCTTGAATACATCTCTTAATGACATTGAGCTTTAGCTTGCTCATCTGTAGAATTAAGGTAAAAAATGAAGCCTGCCCTTCCTGTCTGTTAAAGGTCATGGTGAGGATTAAATAAGACAATGACAAGAAAGCTCTCTAATCTCTAAAGCCTTATATAAATATTTGCTGTGATCATCAGTGGGATGTTGTTAATAAGATCAAGATGCCAGTGGACTCATAAGTGAAAACCAAGCACCCAGTGGTATAGGTGACACAGCACTTTATCAGCTGTGTGGGAGACATCCTCATTTCAACCTGTCCTGGGGCAGCCAGGCAGCTGCTGCCATTACATGTGGTCCTCTGAAACATATAATATGGAGCTCTTGAATAAGTGTTTTATAAAACTGCTGCTGATCAGGATTGTTTACTAAAGTGAAACCAGAAAGGCTGTAAGTTTGAGAAATAGATGACGTGCTAGAATGGGGTTCTGTTACCCCCTCGTTAAGTGAACTTCTGAATTATTTATGATAGCCTTGTATTGGAATGGACTTCCATTCACAAAAGTGATTTCTCCAAAGAAGAGCATTTTCAGGGCCTCCCTGGTGGCGCAAGGGGTTAAGTCTCAACACTATGAAGCTACTGACAGCCACTACAGCACAAGTTCCATCCCCAGCCAGGGAGCTGACCCACATGGCGCAGCAGACCTCTCCTGTCTTGCCTGCTGCTCCCCTCAGCATTGTATTTCAGTAGATCCACCTATTCTGCTCCCCACTCTGTCTCTGGTGAATCCTCTTACGCCCCTGCCCCTCCTGCCCCCCGCACTTCTGGTCTATACTCCAGCTCTTATATGCATGAATAAATAAATCTTAAAAAAGAAAACATTTTCAGAGCAGGGCAGTGTAGAAAGGGTTCTGGAATCATGTGGCTTCTAGTTCAAACCCTTTGAACCCCTCACTAGCTTTGAACCTTTGGAGCAAGTCAGTGCATGCTCCAAGATTTGGTTTCTTCATCTGTAAAATTATGTAAGAGTGCCCATCACAGAACTGCCCTAAGGATTTACTTGAGTGAATATATGTAAGTTGCAAAGCACATTGCTCTGCGCGTAAATAAATGCTCAGTAACTATTAGCTCTTGTTGTTATTGTCAACCCCAGGGGGACTAACCATAGGTGTTCAATGACTCTCCAGGCTTCCTGACAATGTCACCTTTGAGGAAGGGGCCCTGATTGAGCCACTTTCTGTGGGGATCCATGCCTGCCGGCGAGCTGGAATCACCCTTGGACACAAGGTCTTTGTGTGTGGAGCTGGTAAGAAATAGATGGCACTTGGTTGTGAATTCACTAACTGGAAATGTGGGGACCTTCTGCCCATCTCATTCTCCCTCCAAGGGCTGAAATTTGTCCTGGACAAATTTCAAACTTTCTGGCTTAGGAGGAGGGATTACCGTGTCCATTCCTTCAGTGATCTGTACTTCACTTAATAAACTGTCTGCAGACATGAAGTAATTAATGTTATTTTTCTAGGCAAAATAAAATTCATTTTATTTTTAAATGAATTAATTTTATTCATTAAAGAATATAACTTGGGATTATTTTTCAACTGAGCATGAAACTAGAGAAATATTTGTATAGCAGAGGAAAGGGCAACTTTTGGAACTTTCATGTTGAGGGGCAAAGTGGACTCTTGGTCCATCCAGGAATGAGGTAGGACCTGCTCATGACGAGTGGAAGGAGTGGAACCCAGCCATGGGCCAGCACCCTGGCCACTTAGGGGTCGCTACTGGTGCCCAGTTTCCTCCCCTGCTTCCAGCCAACCTGAACCAGTCCCAGTGGTCCCAGACAGAATCATTTTAGATTTCCAACTCCTGGTTACCCAGACAGCATGTTCACATGGGTGTGATCTGCTGTTCCTCATACACTTTTGTGAGTGATTTTCTTTAGGACTTCCTCAGAGGGGTCATGAATATAGGACAGACTTGTCTCAGTGATCCAGCAGACTGCAGGATGCAGGTGACAGATTTTTAAAAATACTTTTTTGCCATAGAAAAAGAAGATAGGTCATACAGACATAACATCCAATACATGAGCACACACACACACACACACACACACACACACACACACAGAAATTCATCTACAGCCCCATCATCCGTTAGCCTGACAGAATCACTGTTAATATTTTTCTTTTCCTTAATGAGCTCTTCCTGAAAATTGTTTATTTTGCCCACTCTTTTTTTAATCAATATATTATAAACAATTTTTCCATAACAATAAAGAATCATGACTTAAATTTTAATAGCTGTGTAATATTGCACTGTGGTTTATTTAAATAGTTACACTTCTGTTGAGCATTTCAGGCATTTTTCCAGTCTTTTGCTTCCTGGGGGAACTGACAAAATTATTTCAAGGAGAGTGTCAAAAAAGCAGATTCCCAAAGATATTCTACATAACCTCATTTTGTCAGTCTGGTTTATTGTTTTAAAACCACAGTGTCATCTGCCTGCTGATGTTATGGGGAAGCTGGTGCTTTCCCAGGCTGGTCCTTGGACCCCTGAGCATTTTGTAGTTGTTAGAGCAGCTGGGTGAACTCAGTCTGCCAGCTCACTTTAAGGACACCCTCTAGGGTGATTTCTCCGAGGGCACCTGAAGAGGTTGTATCTCTCCTGGGGAGGTGTGACAGGTTCTGAGGTGGGGTCAAAGAGAGAACAGGAAAATATCTCCAGGCCTTCTGAGAATTCTCTGAACTAATAAATGCTTCCTTCAACCCTCTGGTTCTTTGAGATTACCACCAAAGAGTGCCCAAGAGTAAGAGAAAAATGTCTAGTGCTAAGGAATGAAAGAAACAAATGATAACCCAACACTAGAAGCAGATTACATATAGACAAATATTACTCATGTGGGCCTCCCTGGTGGTGCAGACGGTTGAGCGCAGCGCTGTGAAGCTGTCCACAGCCTCTGCAGTATCAGTTCGATGCCCGCCGGCTGTGGAGATGCCCACATGGCGAAGCAGACCTCTCCTGTCTCACCCGCTGCTCCCCTCAGCAGTGTATTTCATCACCCTGCCTGTTCGGTTCCCCTCTCTGTCTCTGGTGAATCCTCTTACCCTCCCGTTCGTCTGGCCTGTACCCTGGTTCTTGTATAAATAAATCTTTTAAAAAAATTACTCATGCATGCATTTATTTAGGCATTCAACAGTTGTTCAGGTCTTACTATGTGGCAGTGGGATAGATGTTGGAGGTTGCTAATCAGGCCCTGGCATGGGAGACTGGGGGAAATGATGTTTAATATTTCACAAACATCTTTCATTGCCTGCTTTATTTAGGGCCTATTGGAATGGTCACTTTGCTTGTTGCCAAAGCAATGGGAGCAGCTCAAGTACTGGTGATGGGTAAGTTCCTCTGTGAACATTTTGGCATAGAATCTCCTTTATTTTTTTCCTTAATGAGATGATGCTGAAAATGCTTTATTTTACTTACTCTTTTAAAAAGTCAATATAGGGCCTCCCCGGTGGCGCAGCAGTTGAGCGCTGGGTTGTGAAGCTGTCCGTGGCCTCTGCGGCACCGGTTCGATCCCCGGCTGCTTCCCGGCCACCGGAGGAGGGTCCCACATGGCGCGCAGACCTCTCCTGCCGCCCACTGCTCCCCTCAGCAGTGTACTTCGGTCCTTCTGCCTGTTCTGCTCCCCGTTCTGGCTCTGGTGAATTCTCTCACCCTCCCGCGCTTCTGACTGTACCCAGTGCATGTATAAACAAAACAAACAAACAAATAAATAAATAAAACATGCCTCTATAAAAATAAATAAATAAATAAAAAGTAAATATATTGTGAAAATCTTTCCCATCACAGTAGTTAATGAATTATGACCAACTTTGATAACTGATAGTATTCCTATTCCACTACAGTCCACTTCCTTTTAAATCTCCTTGAAAGGGAAACATTTAGGAAATTGATGTCCTCCTTGTCATTCAACTCAAAGAATTTTTTAATTTCTTCTTTGATCTCCTCATTAGTCCAGTGGTCTTCCAATAGTGTGGGTTTCAATCTCCATGAGGTAGGAGAGTTCCTTGCCTTCTTTTTATGGTTTATTTCTAGTTTGATGCCTTCATGGTCAGAGAAGATGGTCAGTATGATTTCGATCTTGGTGTATCTGTTGATGTTTATCTTGTGTCCCAGTATGTGATCGATCCTGGAGAATGATTCATGTGCACCTGAGAAAAATGTGTACTCAGATTTTTTTGGGTTTAGTGTTCTGTAGATGTCTGTTAAGCCCAAGCTCTTTAGATCCTTATTTAGAAGTTTAGTGTCTTTACTTATTTTTTGTCTCGTTGATCTACCCATTTTTGATAGTGGTGTGTTGAAGTCTCCCACTACATATGTGTTTTCTCTGATGCCTGTTTTCAAAGATGATAATAGTTGTCTGGTACATATACACCATGGAATATTACTCAGCAATCAAAAAAGATAAACACATGCAGTTTGCAGCAACATGGATGGAACTAGAAGGGATCATGCTCAGCGAAATAAGTCAGAAAGAAAAAGAAAAATACCGGATGGTCACTCATAGCAGGAATTTAAAAAGCCTAAATAAGAGACCAGGAAAAAGACTAATCAATACAAAGTGAAAATCAAAATCAACAAGCAATTATAAACCAGAGACACACTATGGGGGAGAGTGGTGAGGGAGGGGTCGGGGGGAAAGGAAGGACTAGAGTCAAAATAAGGTGGGGGTGCAATTGTATGGGGAATATAACCAAAATGAAAATGCATACATTGTGCAAAGATGAAAAAAGATGTAAGAATTATATAAAATAAAATATTTAAATAAAAAAAAAAGAAAGGGAAACAACTGGGCCTATAGTTTATGTTGGAGGCATGAGGCCTATTCCCTTTCTGGGGTACCTGAGTTTCTAAAGGGGTTCTTCCTCTTATCTCCTGAGTTCCATGGTTGAAGAGCCCACTCAGGAGATGACCAAGTTAGGACTCGGGAGGGGAAGCTTTTGTGAAGTTGCTAGGAGAGGGTGACTGCTGTGGAGAAGAGGACCTGGCTCTGTATGTGTGGACTTCAGATGCCCCATACTGCCCACCCGGTCCTAAGAGAAGTCTCAGCCCCTGGTCTGTTGATCAAGCCCAGGAGGCAAAGTAGAGGTGTGTTTGTGTATGTGTGTGTGATGTGGAGTTATAGGGGTATATGATATGTTTATAAGAGGGTGTCTGTGTGGGTAAGACATGAGTGTGTATATGTGAGGAGAGGTTGTCTGTGAGAGCATGTGCAGGCATATGTGTGAACTATGTGCTATGTATGGAAACATGAGTGTAGAAGGGGGGGTGTGTGTGTAAGAGTGTGTGTGTGAGAGATCAAGAGAAAAGTTTATCTAGACATATGTGAGTGTGTAGAGTTATGTCGTGTAAAAGATTGTGTGTAGGAGAGTGTGTGTGTTTTGTGTGAGGAGAAGGTATCAGAAAGAAAGAGAAGCTTGTAGTGTGTGTGAAGGTATAAAGAGTAGGGTGTTGGCTTGGCAGCACAACCCCCTATCCCAGAGATTTCTGGCCATTACAACCTACACCTCCATCTTAATATTCTTCCTAATTAGCCATCCATTTCTCAGTTTGAAAGAAATTTTTGTTCAACTTTAGATCTGTCTGCCTCAAGGTTGTCTAAAGCCACAGAAGTCGGGGCTGATTTTGTCCTCCAGATCTCCAAGGAGACTCCTCAGGAAATTGCCAGTAAAGTGGAAGGTCTGCTGGGCTGCAAGCCTGAAGTCACCATCGAGTGCACAGGAGCAGAGGCTGCTATCCAGGCGGGCATCTACGTGAGTGGGTGAGGGCAGCTGAGGCTGGTGGGCAGCTTCCGGGAGCCTTTGCAGACTAGTAACCAAATAGAAATCAGATGTCTCCACTGACTTCCAAGGAACATTAGGTAATCTCTTGGTATCTTGGTTTATCTGTCATGTGGAAATATGACACCTGCCTCACATCCTTTTGATAATAGGTGAGAGATAATACATGGACCTTGGAAAATGCAAGTCATCTACAACTTAAGTATGGGGAGACTATTAGGATCATATCTGTGATCATGAAAATAGTAAAAGATTCAAAAGCAGGAGTGGGACCCATGCCTTAGTTGAGTGTGATAAATCCCTATTTTGTTTTGCTGCAGAAGAAGTGCAGGTTTTAATCATTAATGCAAAGTGATTACAACTATTAACCCAGTTAGAAAAGTGAGGTGATTTTTCAGGGTCATAGTTGGCTACTGTTTTCTCCCAAAACAATGAACAGATAAGCTGTCAACACCTGATTCACTCTGAGTGACTCCAGCAAATTATGGGAAATTGGGGGGGGTGTGTGAAAAAAAGAAAAAACAGAGATAGGCGTGGCATGGATCAAAGTATGAGGAAAAGAGGGAAGAAAATAATACCTTCTAGAGCTCAGTCCTACTGTGTGCCAGGTCCTCTGCTGGGTGCTTTATAAATATGATGCCTAATATGTACAATGCCATAAAAATTAGTTCTCATATTCCTCATTTTATGGTGAGAGGCCAGGTGACTTGTCTTGAGCACACTGAGCTTTCCCTTCTCTGGCTGGTTAGGAGAAGTAGAAAGGGGAAAACAAGGACTCACATGACAAGGGTGCTAGCGTGGGAGGGGCTGGGCTGGGGAGAGCTGGCAGTTGCTGCCTTTGGACACTCCTATTCTACCTCCCAGACTTCTTCCCCACATTAGTTCTGGCTTCCTTCTTCCTTCTGACTCACAGCTGGGTCATATACACAAAAGAGTTCTGCCCTATGCACCAACCATATTCTGGACAAAACTGACCCCTCGAGGGGCTTGCCCCGTGGTGCAGCAGCTTGAGCGCAGCGCTGTGAAGCTGTCCTCAGCCTCTGCAGTGCAGGTTTGATTCCCAGCCAGCCAGGGAGATTCCCACATGGCGGGGCAGACCTCTCCTGTCTCGCCTGCTGCTCCCCTCAGCGGTGTACTTTGGTCCTTCTGCCTGCTCTGCTCCCTGCTCTGTCTCTGGTGAATTCTCTCACCCTCCTGTGCCTCTGGCCTGTACCCCAGTGCTTGTATAAATAAATAAATAAAATCTTTAAAAAAAAAAAACAACCAAAAAAACTGACCCCTCGAGCTGTGTGGCACAGCCCTCAGACCTGGCACCCTGGCAGTTTGCCCATCCCTCCTCCTACAGTGGAGATCTGCCCATCCTACCTCCTGCATATATTGGAGGCCCAAGGAGTGATGGGAGACATGAGGAGCAGGTGCCACCTCCACTCAGTCCTTAGTCCCAGCTGGAGTCAGCCAGCCCTTTCTGCCACTGTCAAAGATATTGGCCTCAAGGTGGGAAAAGGAAAAGGGAAACCGAAATAAAGAGGGTCATGGATCAACATGGTTGACTGACTTGTGTCACGTACCTTGAGAGCAATAACAATAAGCTGTGTCTGCTGTCTCAAAAGTTACTGGCAGATAAGTGACTCCCACTCCAGAGAGAGACCGTAAAAGACTTGACTTGTGCCCTGACTGGAGAGCATCTGGGAACAGTTGCCAGGCAACCTGAGAGAGGCATGCAGATGAGCCAAGGGCCTCACCAGCCTGAAATGGTGCCTCCTCAACTAGGGAGTCATCGTGCATGACAGGTGCTACATCCACCCTGCCAAAGGGCAAGTTAGACACCTTATATGGACACACCTGAGAGCCACTTTCCTGCCACGTCATGATAACAAAATTCTTGTGAAAAGACATGGCAAAAAGTGGGGTAGAATTGATGTCATCTCCTTGGTGAAATCACGTAGTCCAAACACTCCTCTGCCTGTGGTCAACAAACTGCTGACCTCCTGGCAGCCTGGGATGGCCAGTTAGGCATTGCTCCTCTTCCTCCTTGCCAGATAGAGAAAAAAATGCTGCTGTAGAAATTATTTTCCTGGGAAATTATTCAGTCATGAGTGAACTTTCTGTGCTCACTCACAACTTCGGGTCCTTCTTTTTCCAGTGGGAATAGCAACATTGTCCATTGTGAGATTCCCTCCCCCTCACCCACAGTGTTCATGTCACACGTGGTTTGTAAGTGGCTCTGTGCTTCAGTAAAAAGAGAGAACACAGCAAACACTGAGCCCACCCATGTCCAGCACTGTGGCTATCACAGCCCGCAGGGAGCCAATGTAATGTTCTTACATGTGAGCCAACTGCAGGCGGGGCCAGTTCACAACATGGAACATAGTGACCCTCAGGATCTCTGGAGCAGACACAGCTCTCACATCGGGTTATGTGAAGACTGTCTGCATAAACACGTGGTCCACTCCAAGGAGGGGACTGATAAGGTTGATATTCAAGGAAGAAAAAATCCGCTGATAGACTGAAACGAAAATATTTCTAAATGCCAGCCTGTGTATATAAGGCAACTTTTAAACCGCAGAATTCCAGCATTACCCTCCCTCCCCTGCCATTTATATGGTTCTAGGTATTTTCTCGCCAAGAGGGTATTTTCTTAGAGGTTTGACTGAAGCTCTGTCTTGTGGAGGAGGAACAGGGCTGAGATACGGAAGCGACTGATTCCAACACCTGGTAATTAGTAAAACTTTGAAAGGTGCTCAGGGGTTGCTGAAGCCCACTCTTGTTTGCAGGGGAGACTTTCATGGTGTCTGGGGAAGTTTGGCTGTTTCTTGGGATGTTGTGGACCCCGGAGGATGTTTTTCTGTAACTGGGCCTCCATTGGTGAAGTGTATTATCTCAGGATCTTTAAAGAAGATGATGTTTATGCTGCTGCTAGGTTGAGTTTGGTTGACATGTTGAAAATTCAACTGTACAGAATCAGGTACACTTACCTGATGCCACAGGAAGATATTTATACGACGGCTGTGTTTTGGGGGAGTGGAAAGTATGAATTTTCATATCTTCTGGGTTTTCTTGTTCTTACCTCCTCTTCAGGCCACTCGTTCTGGTGGGACCCTGGTGCTCGTGGGGCTGGGCCCTGAGATGACTAAAGTGCCCCTAGTGCATGCAGCCATTCGAGAGGTGGATATCAAGGGCGTGTTTCGATACTGTAACACGTGAGTATGTTGTAGGTGTGCTGGGGAGCCAAGCGGCCAGCAAGACCAGGACAGGCTCCTGTGGCCCCTGGAGCAAGAGTTCCTGCCTATTTATTCATGAGCTGTACTTGGCCAGACTGACAGCCATGTAATCTGATTTTGGTAGAGATCCAAAGAGAGACCATTCACTCCTGGCTAAAGGACAGGAGGGCAGAGAGGCTGGGTGGAAAGTGATTTGGAGGATTTGAAGCATGCTCTTCTTGGGTGTTTGCCACTTATCACCCAGGCTTCTCTTTTCCACTTCCTTAAGGGGCCAGCTTTCCCTTTCCCCCCTTTATTTTTTTTTAAGATTTATTTATTTATGCATACAAGAGCTGGGGTACAGGCCAGAGATGCGGGGGGTGAGAGGATGCATCAGAGACAGAGAGGTAAGAGAACAGGCAGACTGACTGAAATACACTGCTGAGGGGAGCAGCGGGCGAGACAGGAGAGGTCTGCTGCGCCATGTGGGTTGCTCTCTGGCCGGCCAGGGATTGAACTTGTGCTCTAGAGGCTGTGGATTGCTTCGTAGTGTGGTGCTTAACCCCTGGCGCCAACAGGGAGGCCCTCCATTTCCCCGCTTTAAAGGGAAGGAAGAGAAAGGAAGACAACAGTAAGTTGGGAACCACATCCCTCGGTTCCCATTACTGAGCCCAGTGGCCCACTCTGGAAAATGAGAGAGTTTTAATTTGTCCCACCCCATGTTCTGTGGGTTCCACTATCTCCCTGATATGGTTAAACAATCTTTCCCCGCAGTGTCCCTTCAGACACATTTAGAGTCTGTCACCATTTTTTCCCCCAAAATCCTTATTTTCCAGTAAATTCTGCCAAGTTGAGCTGCTAAGGGGTGTGACTGGATTATACAAGGCTGCCTCCCAGAGGTTTATCTGCCTTTTCACAGTGGCCTCCGTATGCTTTATGCCTTCATACCAAAGGAATTCTAGGCCTCATGGTAGCATTACAAAATTGAGGGAGGGGCAATTTAGGAATGGACTCTTTATTTCCAGATTACAAGTCATAAAATTATTTCTCCTGTTAATGATTTGCAGAATTGACCTTGCAGAACCATAGTGCTATAAATAAAGATGTCAAGCTGGTCTTGGTCTTAGTAGTTTGGGGGATATGACTCTTTCCTCCTGAAGGTTGAATGTAATACTTGTGATCTTTTACAGGTGGCCAGTGGCGATTTCAATGCTTGCATCTAAGTCTGTGAATGTAAAGCCCTTAGTCACCCATAGGTTTCCTCTGGAGAAAGCTCTGGAAGCCTTTGAAACATCGAGAAAGGGGTTGGGTTTGAAAGTCATGCTCAAGTGTGACCCCAATGACCAGAATCCCTGATATTAATTGGGATCTGCCTTCATCCCCACTCTCTCAGCATCTCAGGGCCAATGGCTGGGTGGGGGTGAGCTTTGATGCAGTGATAAGAATAGTAGTAAGGATAATTAAAATAATTTATTATAAGCAGAGAGCTTTACACTGAGGAGTTGCAGTGCCTTAAAAACCCAAGTGGGAATAGTTTGGGGGAACTTGCAGCCAGAATGACCTGTTCATGTTAAGCAAAGCTCAGCAACTAGAGCAGAGCTTGACAGGTCCATGCTGTGAATGCCCCTTCTTCCTTGAGTGTTGTTGTTGAGCAAGGAAAGAAATCTGCCTATTGTGTTCCTGGTTCTACTGTGACTGTGACCAGGCCAGGGATGGGGGCTCAGTTATGAAGAGAACTCTAACAAGACTTAACTGACCCAGAAGCTAATTTGCACAAAAATCTGTAACTCAGGGTCTAGGATGCGGGTGAAGGGGTATAGGCAGTTTTAATTTAGAGCACAGTATGTCTAGATATAAGTGCTATTTATTTGGTTTGATGATGAAAAGAGAATAAAGACCTGACCTTCCTGGGTCTAGGATAATTTTAAAACCAATCCGTCAAATAAAAAGACTCTCTCATACAAAATTATACCTGCTTGCCTTCTCCAAAAGTCAAGCAACTTCTCAACGCTGTTTGAAGTATGCCTGTTCCTCAACTCCTGTGTAAATTACTTTGTATGGTGAAGAACCACCTTACCCAAACTCACCACCCTTCACCAGGGATGGCCACTGCTGGCTCCTTTTTCACTAGGCAACCAGGAGCCTCCTGTGTAAGGACCCTCACATGGAGTCTTCCTGGAAGAACTTAAATCCCGCCTCTGACTAGCCCAAGCCTGTCTTACCAACCTTAGCATCCCCTTCTAGGCTCAAACTCTTATGGTTATTAGACAATTCCATTAATTCTGGTAAATAGAAACAGAAAACCTTTCCCATTCTCATAGCTACTTAGGCTCTTGGTATCTTTCTATCTTATTTTAGTCCTGGGGTTTTCCCCTTAAAGATTTGGATGCAAATCACGTTATGTCTGTTTGTGACTTTGAGAGTGTTAATCAAGAATGAGGATATAGTAGCTGTGACATAACTTGGCCTTGGAAGTTTGAAGAGGTTCTGCCCTTTTTATGACAACAGAAGACTGTGACAGTGCCTGGAGTTCCTCAAACTGCTTTGAATAATAATCCTGCTTCAAAATTCAATAAATTCTGCTTGTCTGCCTGACCACTGCTGCCATTTGTGTCCCTGTTTAGAGAGGAGTGGACTTGGGTTCCTCATTGCACAAAGGGAAGGAGTGAGGATTTTTGAAAAGAACACTTTCTGCATCAGATACAATTTCATTGACTGTTGGAAATTTACACTAATGTCTAATCCTCACAGCAGTTGAATACATATGATTATTTTGCAGCTAAAGAAATAGAGAAATTAAGTAATTTGTTCAACGTCACACTGTTTTTCTTCTCACATGTTATCTCTAGAGGAGGGTGGGATCTTGAGACTTTTGTACACATGCACACACAAATATACTCACACAGCAACCACACTGCCCACTTGTGCTTCCTCCTCTGAGTCCTTTTGCTTTGGGTCAGACTTGTCCACTGCCTTCTTTTTGAAACTCTCCTTTCAGCTCAGTGGTGCACAGTTCCTTGAAGGTGGAACATGAAAGCCTCTTTCTAGAAGGAAAACTTCCACTAGGAATGCCCCTGAGTGAAGTGGATTCACTGTGTTAAATTCACATGTAGCTGCTTTCCCTCAGTGGTTTGACGGAAGGAGGAGAGCCCTGAAACTGAAAAGGTCTGAAGAGCAGTGGGGTACACCTGGTAAAATAGGCCTATCAAAGAAATGAGTCACTTCCTTCACAAGTGAATTGGCTGAATCTTCAAAGTCAGGGAATCAGAGCCTCTGTTTTCTGGCCTGTTCAATGAGCTTCCTGATGCCTACTACACAGAGGCAATTGCAAGTAGTAAATGGACTGATGGGAAAGAGTCATTTAGAGAACATGTCCCATTTCCAAATCCCCCTCGCAGTTCTCAAGCTACTGTGATGCTTTACAGCTTTCCAAGAAGGGGTGGAGAGGATGATGGGAGAGGAGGTGTGGGTGGGCCTGGAAGTGCTGGCTGTTCAGTGTCCTCGTGGTGAGAGAGCCCGAGTCAGTATTACTGACCTGTCACTGAGGTTCCCTGGCCTTTGCATCCTTATTTTTTTTTTTTTTTTTTTTTTAAAGAGGCAAGTATTTTATTCATTCATTTATTTGTTTGTTTGTTTGTTTGTTTTGTTTATACATGCACTGGGTACAGTCAGAAGCGTGGGAGGGTGAGAGGATTCACCAGAGCCAGAGCGGGGAGCAGAGCAGGCAGAAGGACCGAAGTACACCGCTGAGGGGAGCAGCGGGCGGCAGGAGAGGTCTGCGCGCCATGTGGGACCCTCCTCCGGTGGCCGGGGAGCAGCCGGGGATCGAACCGGCGCAGCAGAGGCTGCGGGCAGCTTCGCAACCCAGCGCTCAACCGCTGCGCCACCGGGGAGGCCCCTTTTGCATCCTTATTGAAAGGTTTCCTGCTCCCCTACCCCCCTAACTGTTCAGATGTCTCCTCACTGAACAAGTGTTGGGAGCTGCGCAGGATGAGAGGGATTACTCACAGTCCATGTAGAGCAATGAGAAGCCTAGAGGGGCCACACCAGAAGTCATGTGCAGGCCCCATCCAAAGGCACTCTCATATTTACTAGGATCAAGTACAAAGATGGGGCAAGTAAGTAGGGATTGCACATGCTGGGGGGAAGCAGTTATTGGGGATGTAAGTTAGGGGGTGGTGACCAGGGGCTATTGCCTGGGGGACTCCATTGTTCCCACTAGTCAAAGCATATAACCTCTGTTAATATCTGCCTGCTGTTTTCAGCAGATACTGATTTCCCAATGTGTTCCTCATACCAGAACTTTTGCCCTTGGTGAGAGGCCCCCTGTATGACCCTTTACCTAGCTGAGAAGCAGGAACTCTGGGCACAAAGACAATATCCCCTGAGAACAAGAGGGGGTTGGGGATCCCACATTCAGAAGGGGCTACAAGTTGCCCAGGAAGTAATTTCTCCTACCACCTCCACTAGGGGCTCAGTAAACATTGATTGACACAGTGAATCAATCCCGGAACCAAGAATGTGAATTCCCCACACGTTCCCCAATCTTGGCTGGCCCTATCAGCCTCTTGTGTGCTCTGCCACCAAGGCCTGGTAACTTGTTCACTTTCAGTCAACACTGAGGACCCACCCAGCAGCCACTCCCCATACCTGGGTGGGGTGAAAAGCTGGGCAGAGGGACCCTGATGCAGATGTGAAGTCACTGCTGAACTCCCAAGCCCTGGTTCTCAGGCCATCCCAGGCTCACTTCCATGTCGTGTAGCCCTGCTCCTTTTTGCCTCCTTTTGATCCCTTTGTGAGAGCAAGGGGGCCGGTGGGGAAGTTGTTTGGACCAGAGGTTAAGAGTAATGGTCAGAGGAGATAGGATTTTCTGGATATTTGCCTTTTACTAGAACTTTCCTTTGCACGTTATCTCAGCCTAGGCTTGGATACAGAAACCAAACGAACAGCCCACATCCCTGGAGGGCAGGCAGATCTCTGCTGTCCAGGTGGGTCCTCTATACACCAAGTGTCCTCCAGGGCTCAGGGAGGTTGTGGGATAGGAAAAGGCAGCAGTGAAGTGGTTGGGCTAGACGCTCATTGCCAAAGGCAACTGGAGGCCAATCTTGCATTTGAGATAGCAGCAGATGCTTCCTGGGCAGCTGTCACACACTGAGCTCCTCTAGGTACCTAGCAGTGGCATAGATGTGTGGGCGGCATTCTGCCGAGAGATTGTTCATTTGATCTTAAGCATTAGTGGGGTTAGTGGGGAGAAGACTCTGTCCTCTTGTGTCCTCTGCCTCATGCGTCTTGGACCCAGGCAGTCTGTTGCAAAGGGCTTAAGGCCACCATTTGTCGGTTCTTTGGAAATCTCTCTCCCTTGGGACCAGATCTGGGCCTCAGGTGGATGGTGTTGAAGCCACTTGGTCCTATGCAGACCTCATAGGTTTTACGTGCACTGAATCACCAGCTGTGGGTCTGCTTGGACCTTCCCAGCCCTGGAAGCCTTTCCCACAAGCCTACCTCAGCTCCTCCTGCCTGGCAGGACTCCTGCCCTTGTTCCCAGGAGATAATATCACACAAATGTATACATTGTTAAGGAAAAAAGAAAAAAAAGATGAGTAAAAAGAAGAGAAAACAAGCCATTATCTGTTCTCCAAGGATATGGATGGGTTGGGATACTTCCTTCCAGCTTTCCCCAAGGCATTTCTATGCATATAAAAGGTGCAGGGGCCTCCATGGTGGCACAGGCGGTTGTGCACAGCGCTGTGAAGCTGTCCGCAGCCTCTGCAGTGCCGGTTCGATCCCCGCCGGCCGAGGAGCAACCCACATAGTGTGGCAGTCCTCTCCTGTCTCGCCCTCTGTTCCCCTCAGCTGTGTATTTCAGTCAGTCTGCCTGTTCTGTTCCCTGCTCTGTCTCTGGTGAATCCTCTCACTCTCCCACACATCTGGCCTGTACCCTGGTTCTTGTATAAATAAATAAATCTTTAACAAAATAAAATAAAATAAAATAAAGTAAAATAAAAGGTGCATGTACTTAAAATCAGAAATAGGAATATATTTTACCTACTTTTTTCTCACCTATATTAGATACAGACTTTAAAAGAAAAATCACATTTCCCATGAACAAATCTAGCAATAATTCCTTCATGTCCTCCAATACCTAATTAATCCAAGTTCAACTTTCTGTAGTTATTTGAAAAACAATGTGACTTTTTTTCACTTGGTTTGCTCGAATCAGAATCCAAACACAATGCATATGGTTGATATGTCTCTTAAGTCTCTTTTAATCTATTACTCTTCCTGCCCCATTTTTGTTTAAATACCATTCTTATGTTGAAGAAACTGGGTCATTTGTTCTATACATGCTGTTTTGCACCAATTTTCAATTAATAAATTGTGAAGCTCTCTGTCAATAATTATGCACGTCATCACTTTTGATCACCAATTCCTGATGGAGTTCAGATGCTGGGGTTTGGTGCATGGGGTTCTTGGGTCCCTCTGAGAAAGAATTCAGCAGATATTCCCATTCATCAGCACACGGCAAGTTTATTAATTAAAAGAGAACAAGGAAAGAAAGATGCTGCATAGACTCAGGCCGGCAGTCTTAAAAGGTAAGAGCTGTATTTTGCCAGGGCAAGGAGAATTCTTTTATAGCGTTCTTTGATGGAATTTTTGTGGAAATTATCACCATGGGGTCAGATTGGGTTGGTCTTCCAAAAATGATAATCCTCTCTGCCCCCACCTCTGATTGAAAAGCTTTTTTGACCACATCTCAGATTACTGGAAACTTCCATAGTCAGGTTTAGTCCAAGCTTCATTGATCATCCTTCCACCCACCTCCGGTGTCTGTCCTTGTGAGACCTCCCCTTCTTAATTTTTCTACTCTAAGTTTCCATCATATTGTGTGGACATACTATCATTTATAAAGCAGGATACTTTGTGTAATTCAATAGAGTACTGGTTTCCGACCTTACAATAAAGTTGTGATGGCTGTACCTATGCCTATGTTTTTGTATGCCTGATTTATTGCCTGAAGTTTTGTTTTAGAGTGAGAAGAGCTTTGTTAAATGAAAATAACTGAATTAAAGGATATGCACATTTAAAAGGCAATTTGGTTAGACAAGAAAACAAAATATTGAGAATGAAATTTTCTAAGGAAATTTGAGATTGGCAGTGTAGGAAAAGTGGGGTTGAGAACAAAGCCAGAGAGGCCCCAAAGGTCTAGGATAAAGGATTATGGTTATTCTGGGGATAGGTGTGGTGTGTAATATACATCTGAGGAGGTAAGAATCTAGTCTCCTAAATCATATACAGTGATGCAGTGTTGTAAACCAATATTACCTCATTAAAAACAAAACAAAACAAAACAGGGCCTCCCCTGGTGGCGCAGCGGTTGAGTGCTGGGCTGCAAAGCTGCCCGCAGCCTCTGCAGCGCCGGTTCAATCCCCAGCCGGTTCGATCCCCAGTCGCCGGGGAGGGTCCCACATGGCATGACAGACCGCTCCTGCCGTGCCCACTGCTCCCCTCAGCAGTGTATTTCGTCATTCTGCCTGTTCTGTTCCCTGCTCTGGCTCTGGTGAATTTTCTCACCCTCCCACACTTTTGACTGTATCCAGTGCTTGG